CAACACCTAGAGCGTACTGTACGAGCGCCTGTTCCAGCATTGCACCGTCTCCGACCAGAAAGTACCAGCCCCAGCCCGAAGTCTGCGCTGAGCCCGAGAAGTCAAGTATCCCCAATTCCTGCCCAATGTCAACGTGCGACCTGCGATTCGGTGATTTCGATGACTCGTTGATGTAGCCGAGTACATCTGCTTCGGTGCCGACGGGCGTGCATGTGCTGCTTAAGTTGGGTAGATCCTGCGCCAGCCCTTCTATCTCTTCTTGGATCTCTGACTCTTGTGCCTCGATAGAGCTCAACTCTGCCTTCAGTGCCTTTGCATCGCTGATCAATCCTTCTCTCAAGGCTACCGGCTTGCCGTCGGCGTCCTTGGCGCGCGATGCTGTCCTAGCTAGAGTGGCCCGTATGCGATTGTTGCGCTCTCGTAGGTCGCGACTGCTTTGCTGAAGTGCGAGCCATTGCTCGTGCAGCTCTATGATCCGCCATGACGATTTGCTATGTGCGGCATAGTTGCGATCTATGCAGTTCTGCTCATATAGTCCTGGGTTCTGTCGGATGTGTTTGATGTCGATGGTGGGTTTCGGTGCGAACGCGGGTCGTGTGTATGCTCGGCGTGGTAGTGAACTTGTCCGGCATGACGTTAAGTTGCTGCAGAAGATTTGCCTCTGACGTGTTGCATTGGCGCGGAAAGATGGTCGGACAGCTTTCATGGTTGTAACATGAGAATTGCAGTCGGATCTCTTGCAGTGTCCCGCTTTCGCGCCTTCCTAACTTTTGAGCATCCTTGATCCCTGCACGCAGCCGTCGCGTAAGTCGCGTCACGAAACCTCCCCGCATTCTTTCACTCCGCCTTACATGGGTATACTATTCGCAGCAGGTGTCTGTTGAGGATCAGCCAGGCGAGTAAGATGGCAACGCTGCGCGTAAGTTCAACAATATGTGAGGGCAGAATGTCTATTCGCCTGTCCTCCCGCCTTAACCCGCTCACGACCACGGTACCGCGGTGACCCTGTGAAGCCCCAGTGAGACACTCGCAAGTACTCGTAATACATCCTCATGTTGGGTCAGGGCTTCAAATACGAGTTCAAAAGCCTGCCTGACAGACCTGTGTAAACCATGAGTTATCTTGGCCTCTCTCCTACAACTTACTCACCATGACTCCCAATCCTGGCAATCGCCCAATTGACCCGGCATGCGACCCTCTGGCCGACCCGGAAGACTCCAACATCTGCTTCGAAAATGGCTCTATTGCTGAAACTGAGAAAAGGCGCAGAACAAGTACGAGTCGGGGCCAAGGACAGTCCGCGACTGTACCATTCCCGCGGCAAGACTTCATTCCATATCCATTACAGGGATTGAAGGCACATGCCACGCAAACTCCAAACCTTCAGTACATGCCATTCTACTGTTGCCCCATCTGCAGAGGGAAGCGTGAGGCGCATGCCCACGTGCGTAAACTTTTCCTAGTCGCCGAGCGACTTATGTGGGAAGAAGGACTGGTGTCGATGAGTGAGAAGCATCGCAACGCATACTTCAACAAGCAGGTCAACGACGAACTCGGCGTTCCAAATCATACTGTCAGTTACCAAGACTATTTCCCTGGTGGGAGGCATAGCCAGACCAACAGATACTATCCTTTCAACAACGAGCACGAGATGGGGTTCGCGTTTAACGTTGTACCCACACATGACAACTTGACGGAAGCTGTGTGGTCATTGTGGATTGGTTCACAGTTGGACATGGAAAGAGGGCTGGCCGAAAACAGAGCAGCAGGTACTCTTCTGCCTGGAGGGAACACAGGAGGATGGACAGGACCAACCAACATGGCATCACATGATTATGCGTCAGCTCAGCCGGACTATCTTTCTGGGCTACCTACGCCGCCGGTATCTTCCATGGAAGAGGCTAGACGCATGAATGCCCTCTTCAACTCACCTCTACCGGTCGCACACCAGAGCCAGTTCACCGTCCACCCGGCAAATGTACTCGGTCACAGCAATCGGATCATTAGCTATAGGAGTTTGCAGGACTTCTACTTCCTTCTCGACAGAATCGAGAGAACATCGTACGTTGCAGAGATGTTTCTCGTAGCATACGCTGCGAGGTTGAGAGCGGATAAATGCATAAATTGCTGGCACAATCAGAACGTCAGAATTGATGGGCTTTGAGCGCGGCGTCTTCATCATCATGTTATTGCTTTAAGATACCCACTACCACCTCTACGAGGAAAACGCCGGGCAGCTGCACTGCAGTCTACTTTATTATACAGCGAAAGTTAGCCAAGTCAACGAAAACCTCCGAGCTATTTGTTCCTAATAAATATTCAACTTCTTCATTGTATGCGGTGATGCGGCGTCCGAAGAGGGTGAGATTTGTCACGGCATGACGCCTCTAGTGGCGGTGCACTGCACCCATACACATCCAACAGCATCCAACATGACGTGGTCCCGTGGCAGTGATTTAGCATTCCACAAAAATGACCCGGTGGACATGAAATCTGTCGTGTGCCTCTGGCGCAGGGCGATGGGTCCTCGGCTCGCTAATCGCATCTCGGCCTAGAACAAGGGACTGCACCAAGCTTGGTCGTCATCCGCACCTTTTCCCAGGCATCCTCGAGCGGCGTGCATCAGTGTGCCGCCGCGGCCTTGATCTTCGTATCTACCCGAGTATAAAACCGCTCTTGTTCTGCCTTCCTGCCGAACGCCCCTCCGCTGCTTCCCTGCATAAGAAGGGACCATCGCTCCTGCTCGCGTGCAACTCTTACCGCCCTGACATCACTCCTCACACCTCCACCTCCACCTACCTCCGCGTCTGCTGCACCCCACACTCGACTGCCACGATGCACGACCCGTTCCCTTTCGCGCCGCCGGAGAGCCTGGTCAAATATGTACAGCCCGTGGCCGACTTCCTCAACATGAAGTCGCTGCCGCTGCACTTCCACGAAGTCGCGATAGCCTTCACGTTCTACCAGATTATCTTCAGCTACGGCGCCCCCGCCATCTCACGCTTCTTCTTCCCGCGGATATACGCCAACTTCACCGCGCGAACCAAGCTCAACTGGGATGTGCACATCGTGTCATTTGTGCAGAGCACGCTGGTCTGCGGAATGGCGCTATGGGTCATGTGGACGGATAAGGAGCTGAATCAGATGGACTCGACAGAGCGCGTGCATGGATATACTGGAGCGTCTGGCTTGATCCAAGCTATGGCAGGAGGCTACTTCCTCTGGGACTTGGTCATCACGCTGCAGAATGTCAAGGCATTCGGTACCGGCATGCTGTTCCATGCTATCTGTGCCCTCTGCGTATTCTCGCTGGGTTTCGTAAGTAGACCACGGTGCTTCTCAGAGCACATGGGAGCTATTCGGAGTACTGATCGTGTGACAGCGTCCCTTCGTGAACTACTACGCGTGCACCTTTATCCTCTACGAACTCTCTTCGCCCTTCCTAAACATCCACTGGTTCTGCGATAAGCTCAACATGACCGGCACCACCATCCAGCTCGTCAACGGCATAATCCTGCTATGCACCTTCTTCTCCTGCCGTATCGTGTGGGGCTCCTACAACTCCATCCGCGTCTTCACCGACGTCTACCACGCCTACGCCGCCGGCGCATACACGCACTCCGACCCAGACGTCGGAAAGCTATCGCAAAACACCACCCTCCACAACGCTGGCTTCAAGCACGACATCCTCCGGTTCGCCGAAGGCCAAACCGTCCCTCTCTGGCTCATAACCGCCTACCTCGCCTCCAACATCATCCTCAACGGCCTGAACTGGTTCTGGTTCGGCAAGATGATCGAAACCCTGCGGAAGCGCTTCGATCCGCCCTTTGGTACGAAGACACAAGGCCCCGATATTAAGGACACTACACTGGAGATACCGGATGATGAGAAGGTTCTCGTTGAGGGTATTCACGTCTCTACTCCTGGTGCGGTCGAGCGTGATGCGAAGGATTATATTGAGGTAACTGACCGGGCGGCTGTGTCGCTCGAGAAGAGCAGGGCGGGCACGCATTTGGAAGTTGGGCAGACTGAGGTCAGGAGCCGGAATGCGGGACAGAGAGGGGGGTTGAGGGCTGCGCAGGCGGCGTAAAGGGATGAAGACCAGGAATGAGATGGGTGGGTCTGGGGTGTAAGTAACATGTAAGGCATCATCTACCAAATCTACATATCACCAGGTTCTTTTACAGCCTGGAAATCAGCTACTATCAGAGCTGTCAGCCTCTTCTTCACTTGCCTCCCCAAGATCTGTCCACCCCTCCTCTCGCATAGCCTCTCTAATCTTCTTCAGCAGCATACGGAAGGCTCTAATCTTCCTACCCTTCTCCGCACCCATAGCAATGGATATATCATGCACACGATGGAAACGTTCGTCCGCAAGCTTCAGCAGCTCCTTCGCTTGCGCAACTAATCTCCTTGCTGCGACGACTTCAGCATCGGCGTTCACATTGGCGGCGTGGTGATCAGGGTCGGGCAATCCCAACTCTTGCATCATGGTTTCGATGTTACGGATGAGAACGGCGTTGTCTGTGTAAGGATTAGGTTGGATTAGTAGCGTGTTTTGGCTGCGTTGGAATACGTAGGTAGCATGGCGATGGTTACTTACATTCGTGTCTATCTTCATGCGATAGCTGTGGGAGTTTGGATAGGAACCATGCTGCTGTTGAGGAGGGGCTGGTTAGCTGGTACTTTCTTATGGCTAGGGTAGCGGTTCTGCAAGAGGGGGGAGGGAAGGTTGCCTACTATTGATCTCGATGGTTGCGGGGAGTGGAGCTTCTTCCTCGTCGGACATTTTGGTTTCGGTTTATAGAGAGGGTCTTGGGATGGAGATACGGGAAGGTGTTTGGCGGGTCAAGGTGCAATAGCGGATTGGTAGAAGGGAGACAGATCTGGGAAACTGCTGATAAGAGAGCTTAGTATCATGATTGTATAGACTGCGTGCGGCTTGCTATATAACCCGTCGATTGGTGACATGACTGGTAGATCGACAAACCGCAATCCCGCTAGATCCTCCCACTCCAAGATGTTTTCCACAACGCTTGGTCGACCTTGCTTAGCAAATCCACCAAGCCTTCGTGCTTAGTATCATGTACTACCTTCTCGAGCTTGCTACGTCGCCTCTCTTCCTCTAGTTTCTCCTTCGCACGCTTTAGCTGCTCTTCCAGATCTTCGACACGATCCTTTCCCCGTTTTATGTCATCGTCGGATTTGTCAGTGAGTGATTGTCTCTCGACAATGCTGTCTTGGATGTAGGAGCGCAGGGTGCGTTTATCTGGATGCGTGTCAGAAGATTCGAGCTCCACTGGTGGCTACCTAGGTATGAGGTGGACTATGTGAGGTGGTAAAGTAGAGCGGGCAACATCTAGGTAGGGGTAGGTAGAAGAAAGATCAGGGTGAGGAAGAAGAGGGGAGCTAGGCACGTACGGGCATTTCGATCTTTGAGAGTCATCTTGGGGAGATTGGAGGTGAACCATGAGCCTGTTGTTTTTTGTTCGTTAGTCTGCTGTTTTGTTCTCGGAAAAGGACGTTGCGGTAGCACTCACTGGATATGTTTGGACGAACGGGTGGGTTTAGGGGCTCGGCATCTGTAATCATGGTTGGCGCCTTTCGCAAGTCGTTGGTGCTTTTCGGATGCCGCATTTTAGATACAGAGGTCAGATGTGAGTTCATGACTGAGTTAGCGCTGATTGGCAGAAGAGTGATAGAGATTCCGAGCCAAGGAGTATCGCACTGCCGGAATATATGTGATGGCACTGCTTGCTGTTTACTACGTCGGTCAAACAAGACAAAGGGTATGCAAACTACAAACCTAGCCAACCCTCTCCATCTAGGATCGATGAGCATCGGCCTCATTCGGCACATGATTCCGCACAATTTCCTCGACCGCACCGGTCAACTTCTGTAAGCCGTCATGCATGGCAGCATCCACCAACGACTCAAACATTCTCTTTTTCTTCTTAAACTCGAGCTTCTCCACCTCGTGCTTTCGTTCTTCGCCTTCTTCCATAGCCTCGACTTCTGACTGAGCGAGTTCTATGCCTAATTCGTCGCGTTCACAATGTTCAGCTACACGTCTCACGCTCTTGTCAATGGACTTCTTCAGGACGCTCAGGCCTATACAAGTGTCAAAATTTACACGTAAGTGACCGTTGCAGAGAAGGAGCCCGTCTGGGGTGTGGGGTGTACGTACATTCTTCTTTAGGACGTCGTGATTGGGTTTGGAGGAAATCTAGGTATTCCGTCACCGCTTCATGGTATCGAGTTAGCAAGTCGTTGACTTTTCCAAGAAGGGACTTTGGGGGCTTCGTTACTAGAGAACTTATCCCCTTGGCACATGTAGATTTGCGGGCCTGGTGGCTGTTCTTGTTCGGCCATGCTGACCTCGATCAAATTGTTTGAAGATACTTGAGCGATGCGTTCGGGATGCTGTCTTCTAGGTGTGCAGCAGATGGAGTAAGGATGTTGGAAAGAATCTGACGCTGATATATGTGGTCATGCTTGTATCGGTGACAATTATTTGTTAGTACCTGAGGTGCTTGGTACACAGCTACAAACTCGATGGATTCGATGGGCTTTGCTGCTTACTCCTCGCTACGTGGATTTACCAAGGCAAGCGGTATGCAGACCCCATGTCATTTCGATCGTCGTTTTAACAGTCTCGTCTTTCGCCCCCTGACCGTCACAAACCCGCATCATCAAACCCCAGCCTGTCCATCTGCTTCACCCTCAATCAGCTCCTCAACCCTCTTCACCAACTCCACCAATCCCTCATGCTTAGCATCACCGACAGCCTTCTCAATTATCAGCTTCCACCTCGTCATTCTCTCATAATCCCTCGCCGCATCGACATCGTGTTCCGGATGTTCACCTTCAAGTTTCTGAAGTTTCTGTAGTACAAATTCGGAAATTGTGGTGTTGCGTGCTTGTTGCAATGCATTCTCTGCGGCGCTTTCTTTGACGTTGTAGCGGAGGATACGGAGGTCTGTGGGTGGCGTTAGGATAGTCTAGAAGGGTTGAGGGGTTGGGGTATGAGGATATAGAGTGGTAAGTTCGGGGGTATGGATGGTGGAAAGAGAGTGAGCTGGATAGTGAATGTACAATCTTCTCTGTCTTCACGGGACTTCTTCTTGAGTTTGTCTAGAAGCCATTGACCTGCTTGATTAGATGACTGGTACGGTTTGATTGGAAAATAGCTTTGGAGTTGAACATACTAGAGATGGCAGGTTCTTCTGTAACTTGCGCGTTTGCTGGTTGTGCACTTGGTGGTGGTAGTCCTGACATTCTTTGGGCGTGTAGGTGAGATGGAATGTGGAAGATGTGAGAGGGTAGGTAGGTCTCGGAAGGTATAAGTATACATATCCTGATGCCTCTGCTTGTTAGTAATGAAGGCAGTTGGTAGACAAATACAAACTTGATAGATCCATTGCAATCATGTTCCGTACACAGTCATCCCAGCTACATAGGTATCTCCCATTGCTCATGCATACCGTACAAACCCAATATATCCGCCTGGGTAAGACTTCCCATCTCTAATTTCACTTTCAAAACACTCCGGGTATATCCTCGCTCGCTCAAGTAACTCCATGTAAGCACTAGACCCGTCTTGTAGCCGCCTCGTCCATCCATCACTTCACTCAACTCGACATAGCGCCAAGCTTCTTCGGAGTGCCCTTCGAAGGCCTCCTCTTCCCCTTTCCCTTTCCTTTCGCGCCCTTGCCTTTGATGAGCTTAGCCTCGATGACTTCAGCCCGCTCATAGATGAGGGTGATAGCGTTCAAGACATCGCCCTTCTGCAAAGCGGGATCCTTGTCGTCGCCTTGATCCTCTTCCGTCCGAAGGGCGACAGCTTCTTCCAGAACTTCTAAAGTGAGACGAGATTGACCCTGGGTAAAGCCCGCGAGGATGCTTAGGACAGCCAGTGTGGAGGAGTCGCATGACTTCGAACTGGACTTGGCGGCGGCGGGCTTCATCGACGTAGGAAGGAAGTGTTCGACGGCGACACCCCAGCACTTCTCGATGTGGTCCTCGTCTTCGGCAACACGTGCAGGAGTTGAAGTCGTAGAATCCAGTGATTCGATGTCGACCTCAACAGGCTTGTATTCGCGCGTGATACGCATCCTGTTGCGAGTTGTGGGCTTCTGCTTGTTCAGACTGGCGATGTGAAGGCACTTGTCGAGGTCGCATAGCTCCTAAGTTTCAGTCAGTGACGTGTCTTTGATATGGAAAAATAACAATGTATACTTACTACCCACTCCAGGCCGTAGCACTCGGCGTTCATGTCAACATCGTCGCCCTCTTCACCGTCGTACAGTACCCATTCAGATGGCGAGTCAGGTAACATGACCTCTTTCGCACTAGCTGCTACCAGCACTCGCTGGTCTTCTTGGAGAGTACTCGGTTCCGTGATGCGCTTGGCCTCTGTGGTATATATCGCGGCATACTTGATGTCGAGGGCAAGTCGTACACTTGGTAGAACTTGCTCGAGAGTCTGGAACGGTGTGACGAAGAAGTCCTCGACGGTATTCTTGGTGGAAGGGCAGTGTAGCTGGACGTTGACCATGGTCGCGAAATCGTAGAGGGTATTGAATAAGATCACTATTCTTGTCAAAGAGGGAGTGTGGATCAAGAGATCAAAATCGATGAGGATATATAGCCCAGAGGTCAGTGCTCTCTCTAGGCAGGCGCAGTGAGTTTGCTTTGCTCAATGAAGGACAGAAACTGTCGCTTACGCTCGGCTGACCCTTTTCAGGAGCCAGTGATGACTCACTTGACTCTCCTGGAAGCAGACTTGGGTCACATTGTGCTCACTCCAGTCGCAAGATATGGATTTGATAGCCTTATTGAGCAAGATACATGCGGGGGAGTTCGCATATATGGAGGTAAACGATATCAGATTGAGATGTTTACTGGCTATTAACGCGTCACTGCGACTTATACTCCATCTACTGTTTGCTTTCAGGCACTATCGCAACCGCAGGTGACGACATCACGTACCTTAACAAACGTCCAGCTCACACACCTCCATTACACGTGATTGAGAGTCTCAATCTCCAGACCGTCCTTGAACTCTGCCTCAAGCATCCCATCGCCACCTGCCGTGGTCGGGCGACAAACGTATCCTGCGATACTCACGCTCCATCGCTCATACTCCTCCGCAAGGACCCAGGTGACTTCTCGCAACGGCTGTCTGCTGACTTCCTTGCCAGCCTCATCCTTGATGATCCAGTAAATCCAAAGACTGTTGCCGAGCGCATCGCTCTCCCTTCTCGCCTCAATGGTGGCGCCGGGCATAGTACCGTTCTTGAACTCAGGCATGGGTGTAAGCGACCAGTCAGCCCACGCATCACAGCCCACGGTCGCCACATATGGCTTTCCGTAGTAGAACTCGATACCAGTCTTGATCCATTTGGTTTGGTTGTCTGGAACACCTGGCTTGGTGACATGCAGCAAGAGGCCGGCTTGGTCGTATTGACGGAGTTGGTCGGACGGTGGAAGCTCGAACGACAGCTGCGCTCGCTGGAAATTCTTCAGAGTGTAGGTTGGGAGCTGCTCTGGGTAGGTCGATGCATTGAAGGCGTTGTGCATGGGAGGCTTGCGCCAGATGTCAGTGTTTGGTGGAGCCGAGAGGCTGAAAGGCTTGATGGTTGTGGTTGTCGTGTTGGACATAGTGACTGCGGCTGTGGCTGTAGCTGCAAGAAAAGAGAGAATGGAGAACTTCATCTTGATGATGCATGTTAATCTATGGAATCTTGATTGCATTTATACCTTGGCACAGTGATGCAAGACAGCTCTACGGGCGTGACGACGGCGATTACTGCTAAACTATGGTAACGCATGCGATTGGCTGGAAGTCGGAAGTACGGTAGAACGTCGGTTTGATACAGCTTGATAATTGTGATGGCGGTGGAGGTCCCCATGCTCAAGAGCCCACTCAGGATACCAAAGGAGATTACCCCGAAGCCTTTTCATCCTGGGATGTCGGCATCTTGTGATGCAGACGGGGAAAGCGGGGTACTGTTCCGGGCGAGAACCTGCGAGGTTCGACTTCCGATGGGTAGCTGTGGTGGTTCGTCTTACACATCAAGCCATACTACGGCAGATCATGCAAGACGTTGTCTAGCGGGTACCGATGTTTACCCGACAAGTGGGAACTGACGGAGGAAGGTGCAGTGCTAGGCGCTTCCCTGATTGAGCGGGGAAATGCGAGATCTGCTTGGCATGAGCATCGAGACTTCAAATACGAAATACGAGACGCGATCGGGCTGCAGCAGTCGGACACGTGCCCAGCATGGCTAATCCCATATGAAAGTGTCGTGAATCTTACTCCGACGTGCAATCTGGGTTGTGCAGACTCGAAAGCGCCGACAAGTGAAGCAACTACACCGAGCAAATCATCACAGCAGCGTGTATACGTTGTGGGCCATCGGATGTTGTACAATCACATTCATTCGCAGGTATATACAATCCAAATGCTCTAAACCTTCTATTTCTTTTGCTCTCCCTCTTTGGGAGGCTCTGGCTTTGGCGTAGGGAGCTTGAACTGCGTGCATGTTAGAGGTTGAGTCGAGAACGTGGTATGAAGGATAGCTTACGTTCTCCGGCTTGAGATCATCACCAGGACCGACCTGCTCCCAGGCTGATGAACCACCACGGAAGTTCCTGAAAGCCTGTGTCATCTCCAGGGGTTCTACGACAATCCTCTTCTTCTCCTCGTCGTATCGGATCTCAGTGTATCCAGTCATGGGGAAGTCCTTTCGCAGTGGGTGGCCGTCGAAACCGTAGTCGGTCATGATTCGCCTCAGATCTGGGTGTCCAACGAAGAAGACACCAAACAGATCGTAGACCTCACGTTCGTACCAGTTGGCACCATCGTAGAGATCGCACAGACTGGGTACTGGAGTGGCCTCATCCGCGTACGTCTTGACCCTCAGGCGCGAGTTGTGACGGATGCTGAGCATGTTGTAGACGACCTCGAAACGCTGGTCCTTGGTGGGGTAGTCGACGGCGGTGATATCTGAGATTTGTGTGTACTCTGCGGCGGTGTGGTACTTGAGGAAGGTAAAGGTGGGGATGATGCCGGCGGGCGGGACGTAGATGGTCAACTCATCCTTCCAGACGGAGAACCTTGGGTAGGGTCAGACGGTAGTTACTCCCAGGTGTGAATTGACATACTGCTGGACGTATTTGGGCAGACATGACATGATGTACTGGCCATATTTGTGCAGAGCCTCGCCCTTCTCTTTGTAGTGGTCGGCCGGGTTCACGATCGCGCGCTTGAGCGTGACGGTCTCGTCGCGGGGGGCAAACTGCGATCACATTAGAAACCACGTCTTCACCATATCATGTGACATGCGCACCCTCATGTTTGGCGTTTCCGATTCGGGACCCGCGACTTCCTTTGCCCGGAGAGCCGTGGAGGCAAAGGTGCGAACTGCATGGCGGGAGGAGCCCGAGGCGCGGACGGCGGCGCCCAATGGCCGGCCTACAGCTAGCCGCATGGCCATTGTGTGCGGTGAGAGAGTGGTGAGGCTACGCGATGTAGCAGGTGAGGGCGACTGCGGGTGGTGATGTCGTCGACGTCGTCGAGTTCGCAGCTCCCACCCGCAAATGCGCGCTTATGTAAGTCGCTAGCGTTAAGCGGAACCTGGTGTGCCATCGCGCAGGTGCAGCCTCTTAACCCCCATCACCTCCTGTGGATCCCTCTTCCAGCGACAGCGACACTTCGGCCGGCGTTTATTTGTACTTCCGCGGTTTCCTTACTGACCTCTCGTCCCGACCCCCAGGTCTCGTCTCACCCCACGTATCTCTACTTCGAGCGCCACCCGCTCTCAACAACACATCGCAACCACACACACCATGTCTCGACTGCAGCAGGACCAGTTCGTCGACGATGACGAGGAGGAGTGCTGCCCGCTCTGTGTCGAAGAGTTCGACCTCTCGGACAGGAATTTCCGCCCCTGCCCATGCGGCTACCAAGTACGCCTCTGTGCCAAAACTCGGTGAACCATCTCGAGTCCCATGCTGACCCACGTGCCAGATATGTCAGTTCTGCTACAACAACATCAAGACGACCATGAACGGCCTGTGTCCCGCCTGCCGCCGCCCCTACGATGACTCCACGATCGAGTGGAAGACCATCTCCCCCGAAGAGTGGGTCCCCTGCACCTTCCATCTCTAAACACATCTGACACTACCCAGGATGGCACAACACAAGCAGCTCATCGCGCAAAAGGCCAAAAAGAACGCGCAGATACGGCAGAAGGAAGCACAAAAGGCCGAAG